CTAACTACCATGTTTTATTAGTGTTTAAAACGTATGAATCCAGACTTCATATATCTATCAACAACTAATTAACGTCAAGGAGAATTATAGTCAGATTAGTTATTCTAGTTGGATATTTAAGAGGTTGACTGATAATGGAATGTTGTGAAGATATTTTACTGGAGTTTAGGTAGAAAATATCTTGTTATTTATTGACCATATATGAACTGTGTTTGCGATGTTAATTACAAGAAATATATACAATTTCTAGGTAACGGAAAAGTGAGAAAAAAGAGCTGAATGGATGCCCAGTTAATGTATGACGTGATAAGACCGCCAATTAGAGTGGAGTGAACTATCGATCAGAGCAATGATACACAAAAGCCATATGAGCAGTCTAGAGTGCTAATCGGTCGTGCTTTCTGCCTAGCCAAGTCAGTTAAGTCCAGAACACCAATAACAGCCTCTGTAATATGTCTAATTATCCTCAAATATACTGGGTTTATATAACAATCAAACAGACTACATCGTACCAATAAAATAGAAAATAACATTTGTACAAGATTTGGCCAAATGTGACTGTGAATAGGGGGAACAGTAATTAATAGACTGGGTATAACTCAAGAATGGTAAGTCGTATAATAATAGTCTTTTAGTCAAAATAAAGCTTATAATAAGAGGGATACGAATATGAATAGTTTAGTTACTTAACAATTATACAATGGGAAATATACATATGATATTGCTCCATAATTAGTCCTCTAAGTTACCATTCATAATTCTCCATGGGATATAACATATGCCATTTTCCTGGAGTGATAATCACAAAGCAGAATAATTCAATTTGAAATAAGATGCTGTAACAACATTTTCTGATCAAAAGGTTAAGTGAAAATTCAACATTCAGAAAAAACCAAAACAGTCAAGTAGGCGGTACGTCTAATCTTCTGCTTTACTACAAACATTTACAAGGTTTTGAAATGTGAATTAGACAAATTTAGAAAATTGGTTTAAGGATGATATGTAAAAAACAGGTCTTTCAATCTTCTTTTCATGAAGCAAATACATGTTAGACATTAGAAAGTGTTAAAAGAAAGAATAACAAACTAAATCAATTCAAGTGACAATTCTATCATCAATATGATGATTATATTAATTATAGAAGGGGTTTTGTGGAGATTTAGTATTCATCATAGTTGAAAGCGTGAGTCAGTTGAAGCTAGACCACCATGGAAAACCTGGACGGCCGTTTCATCTTATTATGGGACTCCTCAACGGTGCACATCCACGAACCCGCTCTCGCGAGATTCGAACCCAGGACCTACCAGTCTCGAGTCCAGTGTTTCCAGGTTTTCCATGGTGGTCTAGCTTCAATTGACTCACGCTTTCAACTATGATAAATATGATGATTGTCACAGTTCAATCATTAGTTACTAAAGTGAAGAATTACGAAAACAACTCACGTATCCGAGTAATTTTAAACCACTTATAGCATTTGACAGAACAGATCTACAACCTACAATACTAATGTCAATGATTTGAAATGATAGTGAATTTTGGAGTACGTATAAATCCAATCTACTTGATCCATGCTAAATATGTTGGTATGACTTACGCTTCAAAAAAACAAGCCAAGAAACTACACCTTTATAGTATCAAGAAAATACTTATTCAAACACTTAGAGATCGTTTCATTTCCAACTATAATAATCAGTATTTGAACAGACGGGATATTTGGTTGATTTACTGAAATTTCTATAGCGTAAAACCTCCGACAACGACAGATGCATTTTTATAAATAGTCGAATACTGTATTTTGTAGTGTGTACAACAATAAGCGCAATCTAGCTAAAATGGTCAATTATGTTAATCACATTTCAACAGCAACATTAATGACATTGATATAAATAGTAATAGGAATATGAAGGATAAATCTTCAACTACGTACTATATCTTAGAAATGGTAAAGAGTTGTAGTTCAGGAGGACGATTTCGGTAGGGTTGAGTTCATTGAAATAGGTAGTATAACGTATTACTAAATCTGAGTGCACATTGAGATGGACACGAATCAACAGTCAAACAAATTTATAACAACATAGTTTTGAATAATGTCAAGCTTCCGATAAGTGTTTATTTCATTAGGACTAAATTGAAAGTAAAAAGAATAACTTTAGATACCATATTTAAATGTCCCATTCTCAAAATTCATAATCAAGTTACATGGTGTAGTGCCGCGATTCGTTAATCGTTTACTTCGATAACCGTTATGATTCTAATTTTAACGGTGCGTAAAATCAGAAGACAAAGGATAGCAGCAACTACAGTTTATTGTCGAATAACTCAGGTTCGAAAGCTAACAACACCTGAGCGAATATGAACGAGCGAGTGAGCGGCAAGCGAGAGATCGAGTGAACAGGCGAATAAGCGAAGGAAACGAACGTGGAGCAAGCGAGCGAATAGCAAGCAATTACATAGCCAATTTATAGTCAAATTTAATAAGGGCACAACAAAGCAAAACAAAGGCTGATAATAGTATTTGCGTGCGTACATATATGAGGTGGAGTATGAGTCATCGAATGGTATTTAAGCAGTCAAGATTTCGGCTAGAGTGTAATGTGCTCTAGTGGTATAGCAGTGCAAAGAATATGCAAATTGTTATTATCCAAATAACGATGTCTGTCAAGTTAGTTATAAAAAGGGCTTAACCAAAATTGGCTAGAATCGAAATTGATTGTAGGATGGTTGCTATAATGGAACTTAACCTATCAAGAACTTATAACCCATACAAGATTCATAATTGACGTCATCTTCTAAAAGGCCATATTTTATCAGTTACCCATCAAGGTTTATCGTAGTCCCATACTTTTTACGAAAAATTCTTGTTGAGCTTTACCGATTATTAATTATTTATTTCGAGGATTTATTTGTATTCAACTCAAAACAATCGTACAGCGGACCAAATAATCAGTCAATAAGTTATTGCAAAATATTTTTACAGAATGACGTCTTTCTTGTTGGTTAAGAACTATCATCTTATGAGTCAAGTTTCCACTGAATATATAAATACACTTCTTTAAAAAACCGGAAGATATATTAGTTCATACAGATATTTTATTGATACCGTTAGTCAACACTTTTTCAGACACCTTAACGTAGAATATACCTGATGAGAGTGTTGAAACTTGTGACACTTGTTTAGTTGTCTTAACATTACTAATGATCCAAAAGTACAAATAATAAGATAGTTTCCAAGCATAATCATCATACTCATCAGGAAATACAAATGAAGTTTTTTAAACTTGATTATTATTACTCAGAAGCACAATGAACGCGTACGTCTATCCAATCTACCCGAGTGAAGTTTAGCACCACACGAATGAAAACCTTACGATTCATCAGACAGTAAATTATAACATAAGCGTCACATGATATTAAACGCTCAAGAATCTCGGTGTGATCACCAACTCTGGGGTATAGGTATTTCTAACTGACGAGTCTCAAACAAGATGAAACGACTTGATTCCACTGATGGCCGCTATCCAATCATGATTAAAAATACTTGCGTCCTGAAGACAGTATGAAGGCGTTCCCCACAGAATATTATATATATATGTATATACATAATGATGAAATGGTTTATAGAACTCAAGATATTTTTGTAATATTCCAGAGTAAAAACGTAAATCTTTGATGTCTCTTAATTTTTTGGGTGACTGTATGTACTTGGCAGAAAAACTTATTTGACCTAGGTTTTGTGTTATTTTGGGACTCTTTAATACCATGCATCTAGAGTATGGAAGGAACTATTGCTCCCCCGTAGGATCCTATCCCTTGTCACCCAACTTCATAGTTCAAAACGTCACCAAAGAGCCATCCAGTTTGCGACTAACCTACTATCAGACTGTGAGTTTTACAAATGACTGATCATTGTGTAGTAACCAATGCCATTTATCCAGTCCCTTAGCGCTGATCGAACTCGTAAACTTAAATCAGTTACTTTGGAGAATAGGTTTCTTCACAGATTTTTCTTACTAAGTGTGATAGAAATTTTGACCACACTGACATAAAAGCACAAAGTGACATGTTAAAAGATAAACAGGAACTACGTGACAAAATAAGGAAAGACGAATTCCAACTGGCATGAAATAAAATGTAAAATATAATGGGAAGAGAAATTAAATAACCTGACAATCATATATTTTATGAAGGATTCTAAAGACATCGCATCAGTATTACTTCGGAACAATTTATGGACACAGTTTACTTGCTCTGTAGAGATAGTATAATAAGAATAGAATTATAAATAATGTTTCCTACTATTTATATTTCTCATAGTTTCATTTATGTTGTTTATTGCCAATTAGTGATAATACAAGTTTGTTTAGATTATAATGTTAACTTACTGGTGTAAATATTAATTGTTCACTGATTGTGGTTTGTAAAACACACGCGACTGTTCACTTTCTGTGTTCTCCGGTATTGATGCCCACTTACCTGAGTTATAATGAACATGTTACATTCATAGGCGGTGCCCCAAACATTTGTCTGATCGATGTATTGTTGAGACATTTACGTATAATACTCGTTTTCGACGTAACTTTTAGTGCATATAAATTTTTGGACACGTTAGACACTAAGACACACAACATTTGCACACTACTACCTATGTAACTATTTTTATTTGTTTTCGACAACCCGCGTTTACGCATAGTTTGCAAATTTATTATATTGTCTGACTTCTTTTATTGATAAAGAGTTTTTGTTTGAAATATCCATTTGGTTTTATCTTTCCTAGATTTAATCAACAACTAGAATTTTGGAGCTCTGTTTACATCTTTTCGCACTCAAGTTTCATCCAAGTTATCTTTATGTAAGAATCGTAACAAATTTGTGTGTGTTTATCGTGAACTGTTTTAAGATAGGACATATGTTATCAATCTTTTAGGAAATCAACTAGTGGAAGGTTTTGAAGTAAGTATTTGAAACCAAACCTATTTCGTTGTAAGATAATATAGATTACAGTTTCTACGGAATAAATATGCAGATCCAAAGACCCTAAAACCCTATCAAGTTTTCATAAGGTAATTCCTATTATTTCTACCCTTGATATTGGCCATTCTGGATACTGGAAAGCCAAAAAATGTATCTGTTGAAATTCAAACTTCTCATACCTATAAGGTAAATTTATAAGGAAAAAGAATTCTGGCAGTTCGGTTCCGACCGTACTCAAATTCAGCCTACTATCAACCAATTATACTAAGTACTTTGAGTGGTAAAACGTAACCTCATAACAACCTTATGGCGACAGGTGAATATATTAACTGATGAAAACTTCGTAAGAGCTTATATTTCGCTTTACTATCTGTCTTACTTGAGGACGCCTGAGCTATATAGCTCTTTCTAAGTGCAAGTATGTAATTTAAACTTCAGTCCACTAGACATGGCCCCGAATCAAAATAATCTAAATAATGGAGGTAATAACTAGGTCAATATGTTTAGAATAATGAATTACGAATACGAAGAAATAAAATTTGGCATAAATCTCACTCTCACTGAGTTTCCACAGAACTCATCAATTTTAGCCAAAAAGACGAACACACACCTTTAATTAACTAACCCTTAGATTTCCCAAATCCTTAATATGTTCTTATATAATTGCATAGAACATTCCAAATGTGAAAACATATGATAAATAAACCAAAAACCGGAGCATATCCCTTCAAGCTATCATAGCTTACCACAAAACAAGTCCAGTAGGATAGAGGTAACAAGTTAAAGGTGAATGACAAGTAACGAGAAACTTAATAGAATTTGGCGAATTAATACATTTAAAATACTAGGGTCGGTTTTTAAGCATTTCGTCTGTGATTTTTTATTGCTAACTTCACTTCTTAAGGACCAGGAATAATGCGAAGTATTTACGCTGTCGTATTTGCCTTTTTCAAATGTAATTTTACTTCAATGAACATCATAGGTCACGGTAGATGGTAACTTTGCATATATTACACACTAGCCAGTTAATTCGTTTGATCTATAGCGTCAGTTACTATGTTAAGCCCATATACTTTATACTAGCTTCTGAAAAGGCCAATTTATCCATTCTTCTTGAGTCACGTTTTGAATTTGGTAATTATTTACTTGTCAACCCTGACTGTTTTTGTATGAGCGTATGTGTGTATACACTTTTTATCCTATTCATCACGTCTGTATTCTATTTCTACCTGGCTATAAATATTAATTGACGCTTGATTAAATAGAGTTGGTTCACACGCCTCCACCGCGCGTCATTTTGCTCTGCTCTTTTCTATTCACTTCATCCCTCTCATTATGTGTCCAGATCAGTAAGTATACAAAATATATGTGTCCAAAACTTCATTTTCTCGTATTTGATTTGTTTAATCCCGTTATACGCTAAAGCGGATTAGGTCGATAATTTTATACGAGGGTAGACGATATGTATATTTCAGCAACCATTAATACGATCTACTTGGAGTCATATTCAGGGCCACAAAAGATCTAGATTCATAACTTCAGTTATGGGCTTTCTGTCGTTGAACTCACATTGTAATTGGTTTCAGATTGTTTGAAGCTGAAATGATCACATCACGAACGACAGTCGAATCATCTGGTCCTTACAAGCTAACATTTTCGAAAATAATATTCAGTAGAAATGAATCTAAAAGACAAGAGTAAGGCGTGATCGAAAGATATAGAATAATAGTGACACAGTATACTACAGGATGAGTCATTTCTTATCTCATTTATATAACTTGCACAAAACATCAGGAAAATCAAAAGAACCAAAAGTTATATAAGTTTTGAACTTAAGGCTGAATTAAAAAGTAGGTTTAGTAAATATACATATCGTTTAAGATTATGAGGTATATTTTTCACACTTATTATTTTTGTTGAAAATGAGATGAGCTCTGATTACATGCCAAACTAATAAGATAGACAATATTAAAATCAAATTATAACATTTGAATATGAAAAAGCCTTTATTAACCGAATACAAATGAAGCACAGCAAAATCTAGTTTTCGGTTTATCATTTAATAGTAAAAGACGTTTTCATGGTTTAAAACAAGTACAACAATTATAATACCGAAATTTAAATGAAATTCTATGTATGAATAATTTATAAGAGTAGCTTAAATAAATTGATAAAAGTATAGTTTTCAAATGTTATAGATATGGATTGTTTATCTGTAGCCCCCAAATACGAAGTTAGAAGTAAACTACCGGCAAAATATAAGCCTTATTGAGATCATATTTACGAGACTAGAATATACTAATACAAACAAAATCACATGCGACTATTACGCTCGATGATGATTCACCAGAAGTGAAGAGTATGAAGTTAGGTTGCTTCCGTTAAAATCAAATCTAATCAAATATACGAGTGGAGAATGAAGTAAGCTTTGCGGTATACGAATAAGCAAAAAATTAAATTGTAGATACTCGCTGTTGCATGAAATACTGGTACAACCTAATACGAGATCAGATCAACTTGTATCGTTGGAACATCTAACTATTCTAATTATTTTAGAGAAATCAGATTGAAGCCACGGTCTATCCCATAGAGTTACTTTGCAAATCTTACTCTGAATAGAAAATAAACAGCATTACCATAAATAGTCATACCTCTCCATCAGTTAAGTCACAAGAATCCCGGCTAGGAAAAGAAGTATCCAAAACATCTAAGATGCGCATATTAGTAAAAGGTCTTAGTTATCTTACGAATGTTATTGGCCGTTGTGCACGATGTAGGGGAAAACTTAACGAAAAGTGTATAAAAAATCCCCTGAACGACCTGTCAAAACGGTAACTTATAAAAACAGAATCTCACCTGTGAGGTCACATTTACCAACTTAGTTATGACATGAAGACTGCTGTTGCCATACTCAGAGTTAAATTTATGGGCTACCTTGGCCAACTCATGACCGAATTTTTCTAAAGTCGCGTTGTTGAGCTGCAGTATCCTGGGTGCCCCAAGCATCCCTACATTTCCTGAGGTGAGCAATATAAGAGAAGATACTACAAAAAGGTGGCAAACAAGACCCATTCGTTAACGCAGCAGCGATGGCCTTCACTGTTCGCAATTAGCGGTTTTTGTTTTAGTCCTCAGTGTTCGGTTTCAAGAATAGGTCAAAGAGCCTGTGTTTATCCTTTCAACTCGTGTCACAGTGAAGGTGTAGTATTTTTGCTAACTGATGACTTGTTTGAACATGATTGCGCGCTTAGTATGAATTCCAAATATAACAAGTTCAGTTATGTTCATGTATTTCTTATTGCCATATATTGCATTATTTCGGGAATTCTAAGTCAGCACATTAACCCGAATGTTTATAATTAACATAGAAGGTTCAGTCCTCCTTAAAATATTCACTAATGAGACTGGAATTATTTGTTCGGGTAGGGCTTTTCAGTCATTGTTCACTCGATGAGAAAAACAGAATCCCATTATGAGTTTTTTAGTTCGCAGTTTTTGAACATTCTTGATGTAGCTTCAGAGATGATTAGTTCTGCAGAGAGCAGAATGACATGACATCCAAACACCCAAATCGTTATTAAATATACGAACTACCAAACAAAGTCACCTCGCGTTCCTTAGTAAGTGGAAAAGTTAAGAATGTTTTAAGCGCTGAACATTTAAGTGTGTCAGCATCCTTGATAAGATATATATGACCTGCTTGAATTTAGTACTCTAAGTGTGCTCTCACATAGGTGGGGTGTAAGATCCAAAACGTATCTTCTTCAAAGCATGTGTATGCTCATCGAAGTGATCGTAACGCTTGAAAACCTTTGGCGATTGATCTAGTACTTATGATTATCATTAGTAGCTTTGTTCAATATCATTGTTCTGATACAATATAGAGTTCTCAGAACAAGGCATTTCAACAAAGTTTATTTTACAGGAATGTAAACATATGAAAGAAACTAATAACTGAATAAATATACATAAGCTATCTGGAATTGAGTGGGAGCTTTTTTGAGATTTGAGTCTGTACAACCTTTTGAATTAAGAAGTTTGGGAATACTAGTTGTTGACCAGGTCAACTTTAACAACCTGTTCATCACATAGTATGTTGGCTAGATAAAGTGTTGTAGAACGTATGTACTTTTGCCTGCGGGCAAAAGATATACAAGGATAGAGATACTAATGAAGTGGATGTTTAGTATTTGACGAGTTAGCATTTCCCGGAATTTCGCAAAAATTTAGATTTCTATGTATAACCATATTATTAATGACCATGGAAGATTTACAACACACATTGCTAACTGCCTTTAGCGCTCTCCGTAATACAATAAAGTCTCTTCTCAAATATCCGACAAAAGTAATCGAGAGCAGTGAAAAATAATAAGTAATATGCGATGATTGACAGATTTTAAGAGTAAATGTCAAGCAATCTTAAAAATTATGCAGCCTCTGTTTGTGGTAAGTCAGTAGGAAAATTCTTCGACCATAACAAAACACGAGTAGACCAAGAGAGATCAGAAGAAAAACCCACACCGGAGTAAACGACCATTGAAACTATGTTTATCAAGGAATCTGTATGAGGTTGTTTGAAAAGGATTCGTTAAATATATTATTCCTAAACATTGAAACGAGTTTAGTGAATGGAGACATTCAGACACTAATTTCAATGGAAATAAGAACACAACGGCTCTTCAAACCTACGGACATAGGAAGCATGACATCGGATAACTGACGTACAAATGACTTATTTAGATCCAAAATATTCACATAATTATTGCTTCCAATGTGCTTCTTGCTTGTATCTTCTTTAAATATTTCCCAAATACTTTAAGAGTTTTAGCAAAATAATAATTTTTGAGAAAACATCAAGTACAGAAGTCTAATCTTTAAGTTTATTAAGCCCCTTAGCTTTAGAACTTCGATGTCGTTTTTCTCCTTGTACAGTCTTTCTTTATCCACCGAAATCGTTTTAGTTGTGGAGATGTGAGTCATTTATACTTACAAACATGTTTTCACTTCGTCAACAAACATCGAAACATAAGTTAAGATAACAAATAATAACATCAACAGTGTTTTCAAGTGAGTCATGTGTGAATAATCCCCGGTTATTCGTACAAAATACGTCCTCCAGATTTCGGATATTTTCTTATGAATTGTTCCTGTATTCGATTTTTTTGTCTAATGTAAGGTTGTACTCTTTCCATGCTTTCCATATACTTAAAATAGAGCACGAGTTATATAGTAATCTGAGCTAGACAATGAAGCACATATACGAGTTACATATACACCCACATCATTAATGAGAACAAAGTCTAAGTGGGCATCCAAATCAGTGGAACCTAGTGATAAAAAAGCCGCAGTCAGATGAAATAAAATCAATACATATAATTGGAAAATGAAGTTTTGAAATCAGTAACGGCTAATTCAATGATTTCATCAGCTATGCATAGTGCAGGTGATGTGAAATCTGGTGCCACGTAGATGTTGGTGACACAAACATAATTGTATTTATTCAAGCTTAAAACATGCCACGGTAGATTGATAACAGTTCACATTTACAAATGTAACTACAATGACTCCCACACCTTTTCTTATTGCTTGGGCGATCCCAATGGTAGATATTGAAATCATGCAGTGATACTGAGCTGTCATTCTGTAGATCATTTAACTGAGATTCTTAGATTGTGATTACACTACAATTACGATGGATGTCTTGAATTAGTAAAAATAAATTATAGTTCACCTTGGAAGTTAGATTGTGACAGTTCAGGAATCGCCCTTTGATTATCGTTCATATTTTCAATACATGTTTTTAGTCACCATGATGTCTCTGATTGTGCTTTTTAGTAACTTAAAAGGTGATAGTTCATAAACGTTTCATATACGCTCCTGAATTGGTCATGCGATTAATAGATATGATAATGAGTCAAAACAAAATTACGGTTGCTAGGCGCTGAATCTAGGTACAGCACTTTTGGTAGGGAACTCCTAGCTATGTATTGTGCTGTACGGCATTTCCAACATTCCATCGAAGGAAGAGAATTCACGCTTTTTACCGATCATAAAGCTCTTACCTTCTCTTTAAGCTCATCCTCAGACAAGTACTCCCCTCATAAGTCTCGACAACTGGACTACATTTCGCAGTTTACTTCAGGCACACAACACATATCTGGGGTAAACAATGTAGTTGCAGACACTTGGTCTCGTATTGGTTCCTTGAACAGTTTCCAAGGAATCGACCTTCTTAAACTCGCCCAGCTTCAAAAAGAAGACACTGATCTTCAGCACGAGTTATCATCGACAACTCTAAAACAGCGTGTTAAAAAGATGGAAACTGATAAGGAAACCTTACTATGTGACACATCTACAGATAGAGATCGCTCAATCGCACCAAAACATTATCGACGCAACGTCTTCAATACGTTGCACAATCTTTCTCATCCAGGTGTTCGTGCACCCATCAAGCTTCCAACACTTCCAAGCGCGCGCTACGAAGGGGTCGTTACTTTTTGGCCGTGGTCTATATTTTTCTTTTTTCTAGGATTCTCACTGAGCTGGATGGATTATCTTTTCTTGGGATTACGGAAGACCACCCAATTCTGATCTGTTCACGTTTAAGCTGCAAATTTTATGCTATACGATAAGATCTTAATTTCAACTTATTGATGGTATGTATGATCACATTCATACAATAACTCATAATCAAATAATTGTATATTCATTTCGGCTATACGATATAACCTTCCTCTGTCATTCCAAAAACCGTATATAATCATATTCGGCGAGGAATATAATTTCATATTTGTATTCTTTTCATTATATCGTGTTTGTATGCTACAGCACACGTACTTTATGTATTTACAGGATCTATTGGGATCTCTACCTAATATCTAGAAATATATAATCGTGTATGACAAAACACTGTACTTACTATTCCATATACTTTCATTAAAATCGTATTTGGATACTATAACTCACTTAATTTTTGGAATCACCTGTCCAATTCGGTGAGTCTGTCATAGGTTTATTTATTTATTTTTTATGACAGTATATTTTGTCACCACTAATATCTTCCTGTTATTCTTATCCATTGTTTTTCTACACTTTCACCGATCCTCATGATACATCCACCCTTGTGTTAAGCATAGGTTTTGATTACTAGATTTCAGTCCTCGGCATTGATTTTTTCTCTTTCATCTCTATTTCCAATATTTTGTTCAATCCATCTGCTATACGTCACTTTTTTATCATGCAACAAAAGAAAATAAAGGCCCATGTTTAAAGGCGTCCAGCCAAACGTAGGAAAACTACGCAATCTAAAATTGCTACTGACAGCTTCAATGAGACGAGCTACTCCGTTCATCCGGAAGCAGACAAGCTTTTACCAGTTGTCTCCATTCCAGACTTGTTGAAGACTCTGTTGGTAAACAATGATGATAATCACAACTGCAACCATACGAATGATGTAAAAAGGCTGCAAGTTGACATGAGCATTCTCAATCCCCTCAAGTATCTCATCAACCCTAACCTCACAGAGACTCCAGATCAAATGAATGACATAAATAACTTTATAGATCGTGTTGCATCAGAGGTATTTGAAAGAATAAGGCGATCTAACAATGCAATTGTGTTTAATATACCGGACTCATATGCACTTAAAAATATCAAAACTAATCTGCTTAGAGCCAGCAATATGACACACGTACCATGTGTATGCTCAAGATTAAAAAGAAGTCACCCTGATATGCACTCACCGATCTTGTTCAAATTCAACTCATCTGTAGACGCTAGTGAGTTTTTAAATTCCTCCAATTCATTGAAACAGAAACAGATTTTCAAAGATATTAAGATTCTACCAGATAGAACACCATTTCAACGAAAAGCAGGTCGATATAACCACGAACTACCAGCATCAAACACCCAAGCGTATCATAATCCTAAAGGTCATAAAATTAAGTCCGATACTAAGCGGACATCTAACTTTACGAATATGCAACCACCGGAAAACTCTCCTGAATCTCCTAAAGTTCAAAGCCCAAAAGAAAGTAGTCCCAATGTAGGTGATTCCCATCCTTTTAAGAATGTTGACTTAGATTCAACCCTAAGTAGTTGTACTGATTTCGAATGCGATAACACAGTCCAAGTCGCTGTTAGTGCAACAACCAGTTACAGTGACTGTGCAACGGATAACGGGAAAACTGGTCAAAAAAATTATCTGCCTGACCACACGCTTAACGTCGATATACTCGAACCTTGCA